AGGACTTCAAGGTTCAGGGAGCAAGGAAGAACCCTGGACTGGTGCCCAAGAGGCCATTCCTTCCCAATTCTGTGACATTAACCAGAACTGTCACTTAGTCGGGCCTCTCTGTTTTCCATCTGTAAAATGGGTGGGATACTCGAGGATTAAATGAGATGAAATCCTGGCCGTAAAGCTGCCCTTCGGTGGGACTTAACCACAGGACAGGTACGACGCCTTGCCCTTCATTGACAGTCCTTGCAGCTGTGTGAGGAAGCAAGACAGGGAAGGGATAGGATAGGGAGGCTCAGAGCCGTGAAGCAACCAGCCTAATGCACATGGCTACAAACTGGCAAAGCGAGCCAACACCTTTTGATCCCGGAGTTCTTGTGCATTCCTCTCCTTTGCTGCCTTTATCCTCTGTCACTCCACGAGATAAATCTTAAGCCCACTCTGGCCTCACTGCTGAGTCCTCCATCCCAGTGGCATTTCTCACAGAAACTAGAAAAACAACCCTACATGCCCTCGCTGGTGTGGCTCAGTGCCTACAGCAGCCGTGGACAAACTACGGCCCGCAGGCTGGATCCGTCCCGTTTGAAATGAATAAAATTAAAAAAAAAAAAAAAAAAAAAAGACAGCTTCTAAATCAAGCACTCTATATGAGCTTAAACATCAATTCCTAACTGCTAATTGGTATGGGATTTCTTGTTGGGGTGCCAAAAATATTCTGGAGGTAGTGGTGTTGGTTGCACAATTTTATGACTGTACCAAAAAACGGGGGGAATTCAACTCCTGCCCCAGGTGCTGAAGGAGTTAAGATTCACCTAATTTAAAAATGATAAAAAGCACTCATTGGAAGGAGTGGGTGACATTTCTTAAAATAATTCATTAGTGGTTTTTAATAGATTCTCCAAACTGGTGTTTCAGAAGAGGCTGCCATCAGAAACACTTGTGGGAGTTTCCCCGTCATTTGCTGCTAGAACCCTGGAGCTGAGAAAAGATGCCTGGTTCTGTTTTGGAGCAACTCAGGCCTCGTTCTATGACTCCATATTTTTGCTGTTTAAAGGAGCAGGGGAGTGGTTTCCCACTCATTTTTACAGCCTACCCCAATTCAGAGGCCTTCATGTCTCCCCTTGGTTCAGCCCTGTTTTCACACATATTCAATATCCTTCCTGAGCATGGCTGGCCTTGATTGCCCCCCCCCTC